AAACCTCCGACACAAATACCCATGGCTGTTTATTGCCAAGAACTGATTCCCTTTTGCATCGGTACCAGGAGTGACCATAGAGAATAGTGGCTGTCTTGGGTGCATGTACATATCCGCATGACTCTCCTCAGCTGCATTCATGACTTTGGAGATAATTACCTTAAACTATTCAATCTATAAAACAGTGCCAAGAACTGGACAAGCCTCAGCAGTGAAAATTTGTCTTCATCTATGGTGTGTACCGAAAGAAGAAATGCAAGAGAATGCAGGGTCCGCTTATTGGATCTGAACCCCCTCCACCATTCTGCATTGCTGTATAATGGTACTACCACATTGTAATTGTGGCGAATAGCCGTAAGATGGCTGGTTATCCTGTTCCCTGAACTCTGCTCCATAGAAGCTGTGGTTTACATGGCATTGATAGAATAAATAGCTTTAGAACTGTAACCTTTATGCACTATAAATCAAACATTTGGGGAGCAAGGAATGATTTGTATGGCTAACCCCAAATACGGAATACACCCCTTATTTATTTGGACTTGTGATTGAAATTAAAGCCATTTGTTCTAGGGTAATACTGAACTTTTAAACCTTCCTAATAATACCTGCTTTATATATTCTTTTTGAATAATTTGCATCCATTGCTGTATAATTGTTTTCTGTTTTGAAACCAGTGGTGCATAGAAAACAAACCCTGTGAACAAAAAAAGTGAAGCGTGAAAATGTACCTCACAAAAAATTCACAAGGGTGCTATGATCCTTCCCTAAAGAGGAAGGGCCTTGAATCCCTGAACCCTCAGGGGTGCAAGATTCCTGACAGGGGCATGGTACCCAAGCCTACCTAGGCCGAAGCCAGACGGACCCCGATCCTTTGGGATTAACTATATCCGGTCCAATAAGTCCTCGGTGAGGGCTCTCCCAAAGAGAGACCACCATGAGTAGAGCTAAAAGATCCAAAGGCCACAGGGCCCCCAAACAGTAAGGTGGGCTCCAAAGGTGCCCACACTTTCAGTCATCTGTGGGGTTTGTGCAAAGTGCTTAAATAAATAGGTGCAGAATGCAATACAAGGAAGGTCTTCCGGTCAAGATAAAAATTTTCCCCGAGCTAACCAAAAGGTCTGCCTAAAAAACATTGTGCAGAAAAGAATCTGTAGGTGCCGTGACCTAGTGCTAAAGAAAAAAATGACAGAGCACGAGAACAACCTAACACGTTAACTGTGGGTATAATAGTATACAACATATTGAGACACAGGTGGGGATATGTAGCCTTAGTGCATACTGGAATCAATCCAGGGAGAGTAATGACTACACGTCATGGGAGGCAGAAGATGGATAAGCAGCTCGTCTCAAAGGACAGTAGGTAAGTGTGTCAGGAACTAGATGAAGTGGTAAAGTGATGTAAGGGGAACAGAAAGCAATAACAACTAGGGAACCTTATCATGCATAAAAGACCAATAAACTTTATTCAGAGGAGAGTAAATGTCATGCACTAATGGCAGTGTGCTTGCCCTGTAGCTGTCAGTGCAAGGAGGTGCTGATAAGATGATCAGTCGCTAGTCCGATCCTGCGTTTTGTAAAAAGCTGGTAATGTCCTGATGCTGGAGCTATTGCTGATAGAAAATCTGTGACAGGCAAGAACCCACAGTGTTTCCTATTCATGGCTCCATAAAAATGAGAGGTGGCTGTCCGAGATACCTTCCCTGTGGGAAGGTTGTGGACACTAGGGAAGTATTCCTGACCCCCTTCCTTATGTGGTTGGATGCACAGTTTAGTTTCTTTCCCACAGCCAGGACCTTTGGGACCTCCATCATGCTAGGCAGGGTACTCTGCAACAATCCATCCTTACCAGAAAGGAAAGGGACACATTTCCCTTCCTGAACACTAATAGGAACAGATACTACACTTGATCTTAGCCAAAAGGCCAAGAAGCAATACCAAAATTGTGCCTGTAGGGAATGAAATTAGAAAGCTTACCTGATCATGACCTCATAATTCTCACTATCCTTACAGCAAGATTCCTGGGGATTGTGGAGTACACTACATCTCTTGAGATGACACTGTAGCATAGTTCAGAAGTGTCTTCTCATAAGATTTGGGATCCTCATTATTCCAAAGGTCTTGCCAGGAGAATCATGATGTCTAACATCTCTCCACTCTGGCTGGTGGACTGTCCCTTGGTGGCCCTAGGTCTAATGCAGGTCGTGGAACCTGCATCAGACGTGATGAAGTCAACTGTCCTTAGACCACCAGAGTGAAGAGGAGAAGAGGCTGTGCAGACAGGTCAAGCACACCAGAGGGAGCCTGCAGGAGTGCAGATCAGGAAGGTAAAACAGCTTTTTACTGTCCCCTAGGCATTAAACCCTTGCATTGCAGGGGCCGCCACACTGCAGGGGCAGTTCTTTGCTTTGCCCAGAGATTGGCTTCAAAATATATCTAAACCCCAAACATATTTTAGTTTTGAATAGAGTAGGGCAGAGTTAAAATCCTTGCCTTTTCTTTTGCCATCTTTATTCCATTTGGGAGGACTATTTTCACTTGTTTCTCCCACATCAATAACAGAAAGTAGGAGGAAACTTCCCTAAAATAAGAGAAATCCCCTCTTAATGGTCATTAAAACAAGGCCTCCAAATAGGAAGATTTTCCAATCCACTCCTGTTCTAGTGCCAACTCCAAATTTCTGAGTTTTCCCTTACTTTCTCTCCTGTGACAATGGTCACCAGGACACAGCAAGAGGGTGAATCTCCCAAGGCGAGACACAAACAGCAATAACAATCCTGACAACGTTCAACTCTTCTATTCTATCCAGACTTATTTTTTTTTCTTTAAATACATTTGAATTAGTGATTATCATTTGTGTTTTCTTAAGCCAGAAATTACAGTTTGTTCTATGGCCTCTGAATGTAAGCAATTGGCTGTGACTCTACCACATATGTCTGGCATAAGGTATTACTAGTGTGGAGTCCTATAATTGTCTTATTGGCATTCCCTGTGATGTTGAACTGGCAGACAGTCTGCATGATGAGGTCAGTCTTGGTATCAAATTACTAAAGAGGACTTAAGTAATGCAACATTGCTATGAAAAGCCCTTTGAAGGGACACTTTGATGGTCCACTAAATGGCTCTTCATACAGTGATACTGCTGTAATTAACACTTCTTTGAGGATTCTTCAAACTTGACATTGCTGGCAAAGTATTTCACAGATCCACCAAACCTGAAAACCCCTTGAGGTCACTGTGGAAGACTTGTATTTCAGAGATTATAAGACACACTTCTTTCAAATTAAAGTGAATTTATCAAATGCACGGCAAGATGGTGCGGTTGCAGAGACAAAACAATTATTTTTAAGATGCTACCAATACAGAGTAACCAGTGATAGAAAATTATCTGTTTTGGTGTATTTAAAGCTAATTTCTAGGTTAAAAAAAAAGTTACCCTTGCACTGGGGCTGCTCTCACACTTCAAGGGTTAAAGGAGAACTATGGGGTTATGGCTTTTCCCCATAGTTCTCCTTAGGGTAACGGGAGGACACAAACTAGTGTCCTCCCGTCACCCTAGGCTCAGTATACCGCAAGCTGTAGCTCGCGGTATACTGAGACGCCGCAGTATACCGCGAGCTGTTGCTCACAGTATACTAAAGACGCCGCAGCTGAAGCAGATTCCCGACAATTATGCCGGGATCCGCCCAGCTGCGTGACTGACAGCTGGCTCTGCCTATCTAGAGGCAGAGCCATCTGTACCCGCCACCTCCCCGTCCGTTCCGCCAGTCAGCGCTGGCGGATCGGAGCGGGGAGGGGGAATCCAGCCCCTCCCCTGTCACGGCAGAGAGCCGTGACAGGATCGAGAGGTGAGCGAATGCCGGTATGTGTTCGCTCACCTCCCGATCTACTAAGCCGACCTGTGACAGTCTCATTGTCACAGGTCGGCTAGAACTATGAGGCGAGTGAACAGCACTCACCTCATAGTTCTCCTTTAACTGCTTGTATGTCTAGGAGTTTGGCAAGTATTACTTATACTTACCTGACCCCTCTTCCCCTGGCAGTCAGTGCTCGCCTTTCTCCCCTCCGATCCAGCTCATGGCTTGTACCTCAGCATCCTGCATTAGACATGATGACGTCAGTGGGCCTCTGACTGCCGAAGTGGAGGGGAAAGAGCCTGCGGGTGCTTATCTTGAATCCTGCAAGCCAGAATCAGGTAAGTAAAAGTCCTTTACACAGATACCCTAGACAACAATGGTAGTCCCACTGCAAGGGTAGTTTTTGAGGGGGCATAGTAACAGAGACAAGAGTGTGTAGTCATTTCCCTAGAAGTAGGAGGACATGGACATCTTGTGTGTAACCTGAAACATTTCTTTCCAGTCATTTTCAGAAAAGGTTTCACACAGGTAGCATTCCTACTTGGATATAAACAGAGGTCTACCCCTGAGGGTTCCCCCTCTCAGCAGCCTGTATAATTGGGAAATCACATGTGAAGTGGGACAGCGAAAATAGTTTCAGTGTGGGTTCAAGAGTAGAAGGAAGTGTATTTTGGTCATATTCATAAACTGATAAGGGAATGTGCAGCTAGCAGCACTTTGGCTACTTCCATCATGGGTGTCACTTCAATTATATATGATATGGTGGAGCCGGGGGAAGGAGGTTTTTGAAAGCTCTATGATATCCAAGGTCCCTACACCTGGACCAAAGGCAGAGGTGTCAAATAATGGGATGAGGGGACCTGGTCTATGAGAAAGTCCCTTGGGTACAACAAATCTGTCCCAGAGGAATTGCATTTTAATGCTAGAGCTAATAGTGATAGCTAAACCCTTGATGTGCCAAATGGGATGCCGCAATTTTGCAATGTCTCTGGAGTTTCAATTGGCCAAATCCTGATAAAATTGTGTCAGTTGCAATATATGAAATATTAAGCCTTATCAACCAGCATTTTCTTCACTTGGGCTATATGTTTGCTTTTACAGCTTAGTTATCGTATAACTGAACTTATTTCATATGAGGTCATTATGGGTTCACAACCGGTTTTAAATTCCAGGTACATATTTTCCCACTGGTCTTACCATGGCATGTGAATTGCTCATCTTTAGAACTGTCAGTTTTCATGGGAAACCATTTTGCAAGTGTTGCATTTGCTGTCTCTGTGCTTACACTTTGCTACTTGTCACGTAGCAGTGTGAAAAGTGCTGGGAGTCACAATGAAAAAAATTAAGTATATTAGAGTGCTTTGGCCAGATTTGGTAAACATTTACACTCAATGCAGATCTCTAAGCAAATAATAAAATGGGAATGCTGGCCAGGACCAAGCCTCTAGGTGTTAATGTAAATAGCATAGCTTAATCTGTTCTTGCCTAGCACTCCATACTGGTGACAAACAGGGGAGTGTTAATGACACCTTAAGCCTGAGAATAAGTACTGACTCTAATGCACTCGAAGATTCCTGGTGAAGAGCACACTTTCACACTTCACAATGTGCAACAATAAAACTCTCTAGGTAAATGTTTCATTTTTTTTTGTTTTTTTATTCCTTGTGGCGATTGTTATACATGTTGAAATATCATCTATTTGTAGCAGCTTGTGCATGCAAATATACATTTACTCTTTATTCATTCCATGTATATACTGTATATATATATCAAATTACAATGTGGTTTTCCGGATCTACATATTTTTCCTGGGTAAGTGAGCCAGCCAAGAGGCATTTTCAGAAGGGGGTCAGAAGACAGTATTAAAAAAAACCTGCCAGATGTATTTACTCTTCCCAAACCTATTCAAAACGATCACAATACATTTTGTCTGAAGCTTGGCCACTTGCCCTTTTTTCAGAAAATAGTACGAATCAAATAATGGGTTTTACAAAAATTAGTGATTTGTGTCTTACTGTTGTGTTAATTTTGTAGACCTTCGCGAGCCTCAGGAGGAAATCTTTCCTTTTAGTTGAGAACTCCTTGGGTTTGAGAAGAATGTGAAAGTTGTTCACAAAGGCTGTGATCCCTGTGAAGTATTGTGGTATTAAAACTTAAACCAAAATCCTGCTTTCCCTAATGATAGATTGGCAGATTAGGTATTTGTATACCCAGTCTGGATGACTAATAATTGGTCTGTTATGATTACTCTTGTTTGAAAGCTTAACAAAAGAAGAATGATGTCAGGATCCATAAATGTTATCATGAGAATGATAACACAACTATCCATCCCTCCCCCCATGCCAAGGTGCTAGGTGTCATCCTTGACTCGGACCTCACCTTTCTGCCCCCCATCCAATCACTATCCAAATCCTGCCACCTTCACAACATCTCCAAGATACGCCCCTTACTCACCAATGAAACCACAAAGCTGCTCATTCACTTACTTGTTATCTCTCGTCTTGACTATTGGAATTTCTCAATGTATCTCCCCTCTGCTCTTCCAAAGACCTCCTGCTTTCCAGCTCCATCTCAACTCCTTCCTTGCTCACCTCCATGACTTCTCTAGAGTCTCTCCCATCCTCTGGAACTCTTTACCAAAACCTGTCCATCTATCTCCCACTCTGATTGCCTTTAGGCCATCTCTAAAGACTCATCTTTTCAGGGAAGCCTATCCCACCTCAACCTAACCACTGAACCATTACGTTCTCAAACAATTCATCCCCACACAACTACCGCTTATGTATCACTTCACCCTCCCTTTTACTTCGTAAGCCCTCAGGGTCAGGGCCCTCCTTACCATCTTATATTGTAATTGTAATGTCTTCCTTATATTGTAAAGCGCTGCACAAAATGTTGGCACTATATAAATCCTGTATTATAATAATAATGGTCTCCAAAAATGATATAACTATAAGGTGCAGCAGTGTGTACAATGTTTTACATCAGACTAATAGGTGTTAATTGTAGGGTTATAGGTGTGGCACGGGAACTAGCTATAGACTTAAGGTGGTAGTTATATGTGCAGGCTTTAAGATACACTAATAGTATTTTGTAAAGCGCTGAGCAAATTGTTGGCGCTATATAAATCCTGTATAATAATAATAATAATAATAATAGATTCCTCCATCCAGCATTATTATTCATAAGAAAGGCAGAATGTCAGAAGTGGG